ATATGCCTGATATAATGAAGGAAAAATTAATGATTATAATTTCATGTAAGAGAACGTAGAGTTATTAGCATTCGCTATGAAATAGGATTGACTTCACTTGTCTCTGCGACGAGTTCATAGCTTGGTGCGGTGAATGGCCAAACTCACTGATGATGCCTTCTAAGATGCCGGATAAACGTTTTAGAATGTACCAAGTACACTGTCTGATGCTGGCAATCATGACAACTACTATGGCAGACGACTTCGGACTTGGTGCGTTCTACCAAGTGGCCCTGACAACAAGACCAAGTTGTGACAACGAAGTCAAGCCACTTTTACTTTTTCTTAGTTTAGTATATTGTTGAGGTTCTTCGTCAACTATAGTTCTCGCACGGGTGATGTCTGCCAGATAACAGTGATTCAGGGACTTCTTTTCACAATCCTCCTTTGGCCAATCCATAAGTAGCTTGCAATCAACGTTTCCTCCAGAATACAAAGTCGAGTAACACTAAATTCTTCGAAATTCATACGCTCCTAGTCTGCTTTTAGTCAGTCCTTGCTCGCCGCTTCGTCACTATGACTCAGACTCTTCTCGAAGTCAACGTGACGGGATTTTATACAAATATCGCCCACAATAAAAAGTCTATCTGATTAGTCAAAGTAATTCGTTGCTTCTTTGATTTATGTACTTGCATTTTCAGTGTCTCCAGTTGGAGGGCTGCAAGCTTAATCACCTACCGGAGACCATCAGAGGGGCCGTAAAACTGCGTAGACTCTACCTTGCAGATAATTATTTTCGGGATATTCCTCGAATTCTTTGTGAAATTGGTGGAAATCTGACTCACTTGGATCTTTCACGGAATCCCCTCGACACGAACTGTCTGAATTTGAGTAGAGAGGTGGGCGCTCATTCATTCATGCCAATCGTATGCTATACGCAGATAAATGTTATGTTTTCATGCCTTTGCATTGAATGGTATGTAGAACTCTACCGAGAGTAACCCGGCCCAGACAACGGGACCACGAGCCAAAGCGGGAAGACGCAAAGAGCGGACTCAGTATCAGCTGCTCTCGGACTTTGGAATTCGGCTAGGCAATCTGACGGTACTCAAGCTAAGCGCCTGCCAGCTGACGAGCCTGGCTCCAGGCGCTTTTCGTGGATTGATCAAGATCAAACAACTCGATCTGAGCAAAAACATGGCAAGTTGTTGGATTTGCAACTGACTAGATAGATTCTGTGCTAATCTCAATTCAATATTTGTATTTTCGTTTAGAGTAGAGTTTGGAGACTATCAGAAAATCAGTGTAATGAGATGTATTCACCCTATTTCGTCTAAGGTGATGTAGGACTGATAGTACAATTTTCCAACAATGATATGAGTTTAGCTGACATGTTCTATTCTACTATCAGTCCTTCATCACCTTGGACGAAATAGGGTGAATAAATCTCATATTACTGATTTACTGGTAGTCTCGAAACAATACTTAATGCAAAAAATATCTCTCCTTCAGTCCCGGGCTATTCATCTTTCCTATATCCTCGTATCACACCTCCAATATCACCATTTCTTACTTGTTTATCTAAACCTATTTGAAACGTATTCACAATTGCCGCAGGTTTAATTCGCAATCCTCTCCCTTCGGGTCCTATCAGTGTCCCCTCTTACTACGTAGGATGTTTCTCTTTACGGCCTGTTTCAGTGGTTTCACGCCATCGCTGCCACCGTATCCGTGCTATTCAAGGCACCATGTTCTACACCCTGCCCCAAGACTTTGCTAGCACGGATACACCAGCCTTACTAAACAAGTCCCTAAAGCCTGAATTCTTATTTGGCATGGCAACCTAACTTGACGCTCCAGATTCCCTTATTGCTGTGCGGCATGTGCACCGAGTAAATCTCTTCGTCAAGCCATTACATCATGGGCCACGTCTATGAGAAAATGTATCTGCTAATAGCCGACTAGAAATAGCCAGCACCGTTTCTCTCGCTCGTCTATCCCTCATGCCAATTCTATGACTTTCTCTTACGTGTCAACCCCCAAATGGGATGGTTCCACTTGATTTGAATAGGCTCATTGTAGACGTCGTCTGGTCTAATTCTAATTTATTTGCCTAAAATTAAAAATGTTAGCTTTGTCCAGTCGTCTTCTTTTTGCTGATATTGCTATTTCCTGATCTTCTCCGAGTTCTCTTAGGCAGTTTGCAAAGTTTTCGCTAATCCTGTCTTCTTCAAGTCTTCTATTCATTAGGTTTCTTTCGGTCAGGATATCGCTGGCTTCTCGTTTCTTGCGTTCTCTTGCATTTCCACCATAGGCAGCCAGCATTTCTGTCGATTTCCACTCGATTTCGTGTCCAGTCCGCGCCTCCTGTTCCACGATTTCGGATCTTTCAGTGTCAATGCTTCTGCAGAGTCTTTGGTGTTCCTTGATTCGCAAGCTGATTTTTATTCCTCTTTCACCAATCTTCTTCTGCTCACAGTTGCCGCATTTTATGCTCAGTTCAAAGGAGGGCAGGTTTACCTCGTTGAGTCGTTCTGCCGATTTTTGATAATATTTTCATAAAATCCTAGTTGAAATGTACTCTTTATGACCCCTATATTTCTTTCTATAAATTCTCTGAGGTACCCGTTACTAAGGCAAATCCAAGTCAGTTCCTACACCTCCTCGTTCCATAACTCATTATCCGTTAGCCCTAAGCTTCTGATGATCATACTTTCCATTATTTCTATCTTCAGACTTTTATTGTGAAGAGACGGGAAATTGAGTATTATTGCCGCATGTGGTTTCTTTCTGAATAGTCTTCTCTTGAGCATTCTTTTGGATCGAATTACTTCCCCATCCAGGAAGGGTAGTCTTTTATCCTCCTCTTCCGACAAGTTGGTTTATAAAATTAAGGAACTCATCCTAATTTTATTTATCATGTGACCAAAGTGTA